AATGATTATAAACATCATTTTCCCTGCTCTGTTAACAAGAGTCAGTATGAATGTCCACAATGTTATTAATGTAGCCTTTCCTTTTAGTTTGTTTGTTTGTTTGTTTGTTTGTTTGTTTTTTTACCCTGTATCTATTTACTTGGGTAACATTAAACATGGTTCTTTAGTCAATAACCAGTTACTAAGACCCTACTACTTTCAGTCAATTTATATGAGATTTTACCAGAAAGTAGTACATAAGGTCCAATGTTTCCCTCCAGTTGCTCACAGCCAAGAGTGGGTGTCAGGCTTGTGATTTATTAGAGTGCCTGCTACAAAGTAGCTGGCAATATAAAAGTCACATCTTATTCAAATAGGAAATGCTTTCCAGGAAAATGACGGTAAATTTTAAAAGGGTTATCTTCCCTTCCAGAAAGAGAAATGAATGGAATGTAGATGAGATAAGACACCCACATTGAGAGGAACCTTGAAGTGACATATATTCAATGTATGAGTTTGGGTCTTTTCTGAATGTAGTGGAAACCATTGAAACATTTAAACAAGAGAGAACCAAAATTGGGTGTGCATAGTAGAGAAATTCCTTAAAATGATCTTGGGAGATAGATAAAAGGAAGAGAGACTAGAGGCAGGGAAATGAGAAAGGAGACTGCTGAAATAATGCAAGCTTGAATTTAAAAGCGTTGTTCTTAAGGCACATGACTAGGAGACAGCAGGATGCATTGGCTGAAAGCCAGGAATCTGGCCAAGACGAGATGTGGGCTCAAATGCACCTAATATGTTATGGGATATTTGGATGTTCAAATATATATATTGAATAGTCTCACTCAGTTAAACTAAAAGGAAGTTCAATCAGGTTAATTGAATTTGGGGCAGGACTTTATGGTAAGGCATGGGTATCAAAGGAACTCAGTTCAGGAACTAAACCCATTTTCCTCCCCTCTAATAGGCTTTCTGGTGTCTCTTCCATCCATAGCTTTGCTCTTTGCATTTACTACCTTCTTTTTTTTTTTTTTCCTTTTTTTGATCCCACTCTGTTACTCAGTTTCTACCTCCTCCAAATGTCTGCTTTCCTGTGGCCATCATGTCTTCTCAAGCATCATCCTAAATAATGAAGTCAGCTCCTCCATCTGAGTGGGAAAGTCCATTTCTGTGGGTCACATTCCCAAGACACAGGCATGAACGGCGTTGCTCATCTCTGTTCCCCAGACCAAGCTGTATCTCCATGGCTTACTCTGCACCATCTTAACTAGCTCTAGACTTGAAGTCATCCTATAGAGAGATGACATGGAGATCCATGAGACCTATCTTAGAGCTATGGACAGAACAATCGCCTTTAGAAGGGGTGATGGAAAAGCATACCTAGTATCAGTGGCAATGAGAGTGGATTTCAGAGAACAAGTGAGAAAAACTCAAATCAGCTAAATACAATGTTCCATATAATATGAAAAATAATAAACCGGGAAGTTTCTAACATGAGCCTCTGAATAACTAGTACAACATCTACACAAATACATACATTATCTATATATATATATACATATATACACACACATATATACATATATACACACACATATATAATACACACACATAGATACATACATACAGAGAAGAGAGAGAGAATTTAGCTCTTCAGAGATCTTTGAACTAGGGATAGTCATTTATGACCACTCTTTTTTGGATTTCTGAAGTTTTCTTTTACTTTAATTTTAGCATTGCCTCATCTTTCTCATTTGCTACTTTTTCCACTTCCTGTATGTGATCTCTTTGGAGGATCACATTTTTCTAGAAGCACAGTTCTAATTTCTCTATCTTTTCTACACACTCTTCCCTAGACAATTTTCTCAAAGTCTAAATTAGAGAATACCATGTTTTTATGTGTGACTTACAAACTGTTATATTCAGATTGACATATCCAGTTGCCTACATAATTCCTCTATTTAGACATCTCTCTGAATTTTCAAACTCTTGATTTGAACCCCCAAAGGGCAACCCACCTCCTGCCTTTTTTTTTTAGTCTGGCTAACTAACACTACTCTATCATTTATACAAGTCAGAAGTTGAGGGTCCTCCTTGATACTAGTCCTTTCTTATTCCTCTGTCAACAAATCAGACATGACTGACTGTTCCATCATGGCTCCATGTCTCCTCTCCACCTCTATTGCTGCCACTTTAGTCCTTACCGCCCACAAAGAACATTTTAATTAATGATCTGACGACTTCATTGTTCACTTAGAATAAAGTTAAAACTCTAAGAAAGTGAACATGATCCTCATCTCTTTCCTTTTTAGACATTCATGCTACCCCCTCTGTCCTAGCTACAGAACAAACTCCTCGTTATGGCATTTGCTCTTGATATTTCCTCCCACTCCATCAGTCTTTACTAGGCTGGCCTCTTTGAGATATATGTCAGAATTCACAGGTCATCCGGGTAGAGGGGTCTTTTCTTTTGTGCAGTACAAACTACTCCCCATCCCATCGCTGTTGCTTTACTGTCCTTATCTATTTGTAAAGCACTTTACTCTCAAATGATCTTCATTGATTTGTTTACATTTTAAGGTTGTTTTTTTTCCCCTCATTAGAATCTAAACTTCACTGGATAGAGATTTTGTTCTTTTGTTCACTCTTGTATCCTTGTTTCTCACATTCTCCAGATTTTCTTTGAATTCATTGATGATACTCAAACATTCTGGACTTTAGATATGCTTTCCAATAATTTTTTTTGGATATTATCTTCTCTCTTTTTAGATTTTGGCTTAAATGTTATTTCTTCAGAGAGTTTACCTCCATTTTTTAGGAAAGTTCTCATTTTTTTTTTCTTTTGCTCAACCTCCGGTGTGTTTCCTTCATAGTAATATAATTATATATGTATATGGTTGGTTTTCATCTGATCTGCTAGTATGTAGTATGATCAGTCTAATGTGTGGGTCTATCTTATTTTCTTTACTATCCTTAGTATGTAACATGATACTTGGGATACAGAAGATGCTTAATATATATTGTTTTAATTTAAATTATGTCAACTGGGTGTATTGGGCTGTTAAAAAAGTCATGACACATTTTTGCATAGAAAAACATAGATACAATACATCATGAGATTTGTAACAAGGCAGTAGAAGTCTTTGGAGTAAATGAGATTACCTATAGTTATAAACTAGAGTCTCCTAACTAAATACAGACCAAATATATGGGTTGTTTATCTATAGTTATAAACTAGAGTCTCCTAACTAATTTCAGACCAAATGTATGGGTTGTTTGTTTGTTAAGTGTTGTTTTAAGGCTGCACCATTTAACATGCTCCTCATTTAGGACTACTATTGAAATATTGAGTAAGGTCTTTTATCAATTTGAAAAGATGTAAGAGAACCTTACTTTGCCAGATAGTAACCCAGAGAGGAGTTAGTGATCCGAGAACTTGCTGGGTCATAAAGAAATACAGAAATACCAGGGGAAGAGGACTAGAAGATGAAAAGAGGTAGGCCCTTAGGGCATTGAATGTTGACTTCTCTGAAAGTATCTCAATATTATTGGATATACTCCACTCCCATTAACTTTAACCTGGTCCCTATAAGTATGTGATTTTAAAAAGAACTATTTTATTTCATTTTATTCACCATTATTATTATTATTTTACCAGAAAGACAAAAAGAAAGAGAGAGAAAGAGAGAGAGAGAGAGAAAGTAAGAAAGAAAACCACCAGGTCCGGGACTCTAACCATGATCAGCAATGTGGGAGTCCAGCACTCCAGCAACCATGCCACCTCCCAGCCCCTACGTATGTGATTTTTTTTACATTCTCAACCACCTCCAGTCCAATTAAGAGTAAGAAAAGAGAACAGATAAAAGAATCCTAGGAAACATGAACATGTAAGGGCTAAATAAAATAATTCCAAAAGAGTCAATAGAGAAGAGAGAAACCGAAAGAAAATGGTTTTGTTGCAGCTCAAGGAACACAGTAAATGGAATACTGTGTCAATAGATAGGGTTGGAAAATTGTTTAGTAGAGGACATTGATGACTACAGTACAAAAGGTTTCAACTGACAATAAGTATGAGATCAACTTTGACAGAAATGGTTGTAGAGTATTTGATAGGTATGCCAATAAAGGAAGTCGTGGGCACACTCTGCTTGGGATGTAGGGCATGAGGAAGCATGTTTTTGTAGAGAATTTCCAAACAGCTGTACAACTTACTAAAATCTGACTGCTTTTTTGTATTGTTATGCTCTGGCAATTCTGAACAAGATTAATGTTAAAATGTTCCTCTCATAGTTTACCACTCTTAAAGACAGGGAGAATGTTAAAGCATGAAAAGGGCATAGGGCCAAAGGATGACTTTATGAGGCTAGAAAGACCAGCGAATGTTCATATAATGAAAGAGAAGGATCATCCCAGAGCAAGTGTTTCAATACAGTAGAAGTTAAACTCACCAAAGCAGTCGGACACACAGAATGTATAAAACACGGGATTTATTTAGCCTTGAACAAAGTAGGTTCTCTAATTCCTAGGGAAAGAATTCTTGATCCTTGATTCAGAATTGCTTCTTTACTCTCTAAGTATAATTGATTTTATTGATTTAAGGTAGCCCACATTCAATCTCTAAAATTAACTTTTCCAATAAGTGCCAAATTTTTAGAATGGGAATGTTTGAAAAGAAACTCCTGCGTATATAGGGGAAAAAAAAAGCTATCTGATAATGGAATGGCAATTTTTATTATCAACTCTGGAACTCTAATTAAAATTATTATATGAAAAATAAGTAGATCTATTTTATTTTTAAATAAACTCAAAATTACTATTATATTACTTAGTTATTCATTCACTATGGCCACTTTTGAAAATAACATTGGTGCTTCAAGAATAATGTTGATATAGCAGATACGCTTGCTACTAACTTATTTTATGGATTAATGTGTAATGATTTTAAATGAATTGTGTTCACAGATACATAATAATTCCAAGATTAACTTAGTGTAATCTGCATTCACACTTATTTCATGCAGGTAACAAATATTGGGTGTTCAAGGACACAACTCTTCAGCCTGGTTACCCTCATGACTTGATTACTCTTGGAAGTGGAATTCCCCCTCATGGTATTGATTCAGCCATTTGGTGGGAAGATGTTGGGAAAACCTATTTCTTCAAGGGGGACAGGTCAGTACAAACTTTATATGAGGAAAAGTTAACTAATGGTTGCAGAAGATATTTCTACTCTATTATAGTTATATATTTTTGATGAAGAATCTGTATGGATACAAACACAAGAACTAATGTGATCAAAAATATTATTAAAATAGATTTTTAGTAATATTTAAGATAAATATTCTGATATATTCAGCTAATGTGACTTTCTTATGAAAGTGTATGTGTAGTAACTTTCCCCCATAGTCCCAACGTGCCTATAAAGCTGTGTAGACAGTGTGTGTACATACCCATGCAATGCATTTCTTAAAATTTTACTTGCTTTATTTAGGAAAAAAAAATACTTTGTAACATAAATATTTGCATTTTCATGCTCAGAGTTAAATGTTTCTGCTTTACACATGGTTAATTGTGAACATTTTTAAGCAATTAAGCTTAGTCGTGAGTTCTATTTCTTAAGAAGTTATTCACTTAGATTACCAGCATATGGGGGGCTATGAACTATAACCAAACTGTCATTAGGCTAACTACTTTTAGTTTGAAGTATAATAATCCTTCACAGCTATTATACTCCATATTCTTTTCTTTTGTGACATTATTCACAGGGTTCATGAAATGTGAGTGAATTGTTAGACATATAACTTCGACTGGGTACCAGATAAACATCCCCTCTGTCTGCTTTTACATGGACCTTACATATAAAATACATGTGAGCTGAAGGCTACATTTTTAGTTCATTTAAATATTAAGTAGAAAAGTAATAAAGATGAAAAATCACATTTTAATTATACTATTAATAGCCGAGTTCAAATGTGAAACTCTTAAGTACCACTCGCTGTTTATAGAAGGACTTCGACATGCCATTGTACTGCCTGTTGGAGTAGATTTTAATAAACATGCACAGATGAATAATAGGCTTAACATACAACATGTTTATTTTAAATTTACAATTTTTAATTGAAAGTGGTTTCAAAATTGAGCATTTTCTGCAAACAAAAAGATACTATAATTGGTCTCCCTGGATAAAAATGTACACTTTTAAACTTATTCTGTTACTAACTGTATATATCATATTTCTATATATTTCTTTGGGAAAATACTCATGAATTTTAATTCAGCATAATAATGCTAAGGCTTTGCTAAAGTAATTTTTACTAAATAGTAAACTAAAAATGATATTAAATAAAAATTCTAATAGACAAGGAGATGCTATGATAGCCACACACACACACACACAAACACACACACAAACAAATAAAAAACATACGATTCTCACAAAAATTTAGGAGAAAAGAGAAGAATGAAAAAATTTATTGCTACAAAGTAGTGACTGCTAAGGAAAATAAATCTATAGACTTATAATATCATCTTTAAAATGTTATAACCTTTAAGGCTATTTAATTCCCTGGCTGATTTTAATTGTTCGAATGTACTTTTCCAGAACTAGGTACAATATGAAATTGCAACTGCCTTCCAACACCACCAACCCCCTTTCACCACTGGAAAGGTGTAAAATTGAAAGGTTAGGATATGCTCTGGAAAAGTTACCTTCTAAGGCACAGAAAATGAAAACTTATTTTTTATATAACAATTTTAATTAGAATTCCAGAGGTGATAATAAAAAATTCCAATTTCATTATCAGATAGCCACCTTTTTTATATATGCAGGGATTTCTTTTCAAAAACGTTTCCATTCTAAAAACTTAGCACTTATTGGAAAAGTTCATTTTGAAGATTAAATGTGGGTTACCTCAAATCAATAAAATCAATCAAAGTTAGATACCAAATTTTTATTAAAAACTGTAGCAAATGGAAAATGAGTTTTAATTCATTTACTTTATACTTGAAAAGCTGCATACAAAATATAGCAAGGTATATAGAATTGTTTTTGTTATGTTCAAGTGCTATTTTTAAAAACTAGTGTTATAGGCCTTAAAAATATTGAAATAGGATTCCAATTAATTTCTATGCTTATGATCTAAGATATAGTAAATTACAGATTTTTAAAAATAGATTGTCTCTTTTTTGCATAATTTTCCAGAAACAACATATATCAATTCATTCATTCTAGATTTAAAAGTAGATTGAGGGCTAGACCCATAGCTAATAGTTAAAGATATATGAAACCAACATGGCCAACCGCAGTTCAAATACCAGGCCTAGCAGCTTGAAAATATACACCAGGTACTTGTGCTTGTGTGTTCAAATTCCAACAGAATGGAGAAGTAGAGAAGAAGGGATATTTCTGTGACCAAGCCCCGATTGGGGGTGGGGGGTGCCTTCTTTTCTTTTTTACTCTAATCTTTGTCTCTTTGTCTCTCTGTCTCTCTTTTTGATGAGCACAAATGCCACTGTCAATCAATAAATCAAAAAAGTAAATGGAGAGGCCAATAGATGGCATAGAGGTTGTGTCACTGGACCCCCATATGGCCAACCACAGTTCAGGTCCTGCACTCGATGACTTGAAACTCTTGCCAGGCATGTATTTGTGTGTCCCCAAGATTCTGGGAGGAGAAGGGAGGAGAAGGGATGTGGGAGTGGCCATCCCCCTGGGAGATGATTTCTCACACTCTTACAGTCTCTGTCTCTCTCTCCTCTCTCTGTCTCTCCCTCTCTGTCTCTGGAAAGTGAACATACCCTAAGGCAAAGACCTCTAAAACAATTAAATAAATAAAAAATAAATAAAAGTAAGTGGAAAAGGCATTAAATTATCTATTTCAATAAGAAAAAGTGTGGTTGTTACTGTTACATGTGAATTTATTTTATCTCACTTATTTCTATTCATGCTGCCATTTTTATATTTAAAATAATAGAAAGAAAGAGAAGAGAAATGAAGAAGAAAGAAAGAACGAATGAACGAAAGAAAGAAAGAAAGAAAGAAAGAAAGAAAGAAAGAAAGAAAGAAAGAAAGAAAGAAATTGTATTATTAACAGTTTTCTGTTTGACTAATAGAAAGAATGGGAGTAGAAAGAATGTTAGAGAGAATAGTTCAAATGCAAAAGCCTCAAACGCTTAAAGGGGGTCAGGTGAATAACATATGTACTACTGGGTAGAGCAGTAGTACGTAAGGCAGCTGGCCATGATGGGTGCTGCAATGAGCTAGAAAGAGCAAATGGTTTAGCAAAGCATTCAAAACCAGGATCATTTAAATTAATGTGTTAGATAAACAAAGCACATCTTTAAATCCAATTTCCTTCAAATGCTGACATATGTCATCTCCGTAAGTTATTCACCTCCTACCAAAAACTAGACACCATCAATTACAACCCATAGGTATAATTATATAATTCCAGAGTCATAACATCTATCAATACTTTCTTTCTAGATTTACCTGCCTAGCTAACTCTATCTACCTGCCTACCGTAGTAGTGTGAATATGAGGTATTCGGTTCTGTTCTCAATAGCGTGAATGCCTGCTTCCTTAAGATTTCTAAACTAGTTCTTCAGATGACATAATGGTACATCGCTGGACTCCCATGTAGTAGACCACAGTTCGGATCCCGGACCTGGTCGCTTAAATTTACACTAGGCATATGTGCATGTGTGCCCAAGATCCCAATAGGAGAATGAAGGAGAAGGGATTGTGGTGTGGCCATCCCCCCTGGAGGTCAATTTCTCACTCTCTGTCTCTCTGTCTCTGTCTTTCTGGTGAGCATATGTGCCCTACAGCAAAGCCTCTTAAAAAAAAAAAATTCTATACTGATCCCAGTGCGGTCCTCATTCATTCATTCCAAAACTTGATTTTGAGCTCATACTAAGTGACACGGGTTGAGTAATAAAAATATAGCAGCAAAAAAGACGCTCAAGTTCCTACTCCCACAGCACTTTTATTTTGTTAGTGGATACAAATAATAAATAGTAAACCAATAAATGACATAGATTATTTTCACACTGAAAAATGCTGTCAAGTAATAAGAGAAGAGAAGATAGTAGACTCACAGATGCTAAGGACTAGTTGGGAAGTTATGGAAGATCTCACTTCTGAAGAATGCATATAAGCAGGGACCTGAGTAGGGAGAAGTTTCAGTCTTATGAAACTATTCAGAATAATATAGGTGGGTGAAATAGTCACATAAAGGCAAGAGGCAGAGGAATGAAGTTGGATAGTTTAAAAATAGAAAAAAAGTTATAGTTAGTACATAGTGATTAAGTGGTAGAAGTCAAATAGGTAAGCAGGGACTAGATTACATGGGGCCTAAGCCATGCAATGGGTTTAGATTTTACTCTAAGTATGATGGAAAAGCATTGGAGGATTTGCAACAGGAAAGTAACATGATCTTATGTGTATCCACAAAGATCATTTGGCTTTTGGGGGATAATAGGCTCCAAGGGGGGAGGTAGGGGAGGAAATCAGGAGATAGTTGAAGGAGGATTGTGATATGATTGTAGTATGGTGAGACCCTGTCAGGGAAACCTCTCTCTCCCTATCCCCCCCCCACCCGAGTCTCTAATTAAAAAAAATAAAATGTTAAAAGTCGTATTGGAAGCAGGGGCCATGTTTAATCTATATGCAGAGATACTTAAACAGGGTATGTAGGACAAATCATCCTTTTTAAAAATAAATTTGTAATTTCGGACTCTCTAGTGTTTCATTATTTCATATACAGTATGGAACTCAGTCTCTCAGATTTCTACTTGCCCTTTCATAATACATTATAATTTTGTCCTTGGATATATTTTGATCTTCATAGCATTTAGCTCTAAAATGTTATGTTTCTAAACCATCTTTCAGCATTTTCTCACAACTATGTCAAGACTTTACTTTCATATTTCATTCTAAGCTTAACTATCTAGAATTTTTAAATCCTCTTAAATAAAAAAGACAACTTTTTTATTCCCTTTGGGGTTGTCTCATTTTCTTGTTGTTTGACTATTGCTAATAGTCAAGTAGAAAAATACCGGGTTATTGGAAAAGTCATGATGTGTTTTCCATGCAAAACTGCATCACGACTTTTCCAATGACTCAATACGTTTATTTTCTCCAGTTTGACTTGTGTGTTTATGAAGTAATT